ATTGTGAATTCACTCAAATACCAGGTCAGTTTAGAACATCAGTTCCAGCTCATATCCTATTGTTGTCAGAATTAATATTTCTGCTCCATTTCATTCATTTTATTTTTAATTTACTTGTATGAGAGATTCTTAAAAGAAAATTTTTAATTGAAAATTTTGTTTTAAACTTTTAAATTATTTTTGTTTTACTAAAAAAAAAAAAACTTTTTTTCTGTTTTTTCTACTAATAAAACACAAAGTTTTTGTTTTTCAATTTACTTGTTGAAAGCATCTTTTAAAATTGAAACTAATGGATGAATGGAATATCAATTTGCTAAAAGTCTTCTTAAAAAAAAACAATGATAATGAGTGCACGGAATACAAAACAAATTTTATGAATGAGATTACAATTATTTGATTAAAATGTCAGCATGATATCCTTTTATAACCAAAAAAAAAGGATATCATCATTCAGAAACAAAATAGGGGTGTATAGTAAATGAATTAGAATTTCTCTTCTCTTTTATTTATCAAAATTAAGTTTTCAATGTTAACATTATTAATTTTGCGTAGTGTGCACTTTTAGAACTAAATTTGAAACATAACAAAAATAATGACTTCACTAATTTTCTCTTAGTATTTTGAAAATGCAAGATTCCACTTAGCTGAAAGTTATCATAGAAAATGGGAAAGTTTAACAGCATTTGAGACTGCGTTTTGTTTTAAACTACCTATAATATCACCAAGAAACCAAGTTTCCGTATTTAAGTTTCCTTATAAAAAGTAATATTATTTATTTGAAGAATATGAAAAACAGTTTTCACTATACTATTATTTTATAACTCTTTTAAATAGCTTCATTATTCCAATAGCATTAATTCCTTCGCCTCGAATCCTAAAGAATAAATAAAATATCCTTTCGAGTTTTAAAGAATAAATTTGATTAAACTTACGGAGTTGTTTATTCCTCCTTATGACTGATGAAATTGCACCATAGGATCACTAGAAAAAAAATATAATCAATTGACTGCTACTTCACCCAATAGTTTATTTTAGCTTAAGGTAACAGATATTGGATTAGACTCAATTAACCAGAACTAAAGAAAAAAAAACGATTGATATTTTTTCAACTTTATAGATGTTTGCCTCCGCTCGAATGAAAAATTCCAATTATTGAACAAAATAGTAAAACCAATCGACAATATTCGACTCAGATATTGGAAACGATCAATAGTATAAATTTCGTAATCTTCAAATCTTATCGTAAAACATCTTAAGAAATATTCAATGCTATAGTAGCATTAAAAAAACATTATCCAATTCCAATTTTTTCTTAAAATTTAAAAAACTTTCGAAAAAATAAGAAAAATATAAATGAATATTTTTTACATTACAAAATATTTGAAAATTATGTTCATTATTTCCTGTTAAATGAATTTATTAATTTATTTATGAAAATTTCAATAAATTGAAAATCAATTTATCTTGTGTAAATATTTATGTATTTGAATTTTGATTTTTTTCTTTCAAATACTTTTAATACATTTATACCGAAAAACTCTTTTAACAAAAAAAAATTTACAGTGTAGTATTACAGCAACAAACCTTCCCAAATTTTAATACTCTGAATTAAAAAGCTCCATCAAAAAGGTTTCTTTTATTCCCCGAAAAATTTTCTTTTAATAATTTCCAAAATATCTTTCCTTCAGTATAATCTTCATTTTCAACCCTATTTTCTCAACAAATTGAATTTATATTAATGTTATACAAATAGCATCTTTCTATTCTATAAAGAATTACTGACAATAATCAATATGGCGAAAAATGACGGCATACGCGATAAATACAGACACTAAATATCTTATTTTATTCTACGATTTTACAATGCTAACGCAGTATTTTTCATGAATTTATTTTTTAGTGGAATTTTATTATAAATTCAAGTAATCTTAATACAATTTGAAAGTTTCCCTCTATATACCGTTCTGTTCTCAAAATTTTGGAAATCGATTTTTTCTCTTTTATTATTCTTCCCTTTTTATGATTTGCCGAAATTTTCTAGAGGTACCGGAAACACTTTAATCTTTCTTGAAATTTTAAATCATAACAAACAATATTTAAAATACAAAAGAATAGCAAAACGCACAAAATAATTTTCGGGTGAAAAAAGGATAAACGAGAAAATAGCTATTATCAATCGCCTTTATTGGTTGAGAGCTAAACAAAGAAGAAAGAAGACTGTGTAAAGCTTTCTCTATTGTTATAATTTTATTCAGAGTGGTAAGGATGTTGATTGAATACAATATGCAAAATATTTACCAAAACAAAACAAAAAGAGTAAAACATATGTAACAAAGTAATATTCGTATATAGACTTTAAAAAATCTTAGAAATTTATATTTTCAACGAGATTTGAATAAACAATATTATTGAATTTCTCTTTCTTTATTCGCCTCCATTTACTTACGTTCTTTTTGACATTTCATATGTTGCTCCTTGTAAGCAGATTATGGAACATCAAAACATTTATAGAAAAACACATTGAATATAAAATATATTTTTATTTGCATATTTTTTGTAAAGTGAATTTTTCCAGAGATTTCTAAAATGACTAATGGATTTAAATTGTTATACGAAACTGAAGTCAAGTGCTCCATAAATTCATTGTCATTATTATAGAAAGAAGCCATAAGTATTTACTTATTTTAAATTTTAAACGTGAATTTCAAAATAAATCCGTAATTGATAGGGCGGGAAATGTTTTCAATATCTTTATTTATATGTAATATGCTTATTAAGCACAAAATACTAAGTTAAAATTTCTTTGACTAAAAGAAAATGTAATTCAAAAATTTTATAAAATTAACGCGTATGCGTTTTGTAAAAATTTCTTTAATTAAATCTTATTAAGAAGGCTTTTGAAAAATATTTAAAACGATTGATTATATTAAATTCTCTTAAGCATTTTATACGAAAATGCGAGATTTCTTTGTGTTGTTACCGAGATTTTGGATTGCGTCTCATTAATAATATCAAAAAGAATTTTGTTATAATTATGTAGTCATTAGTTAAACTCATGCGTATCATGCAAAGAAATACTTATACGTTAGTACTTACTTTGCGCTCTGAACAATTATCTTAATTTTCAGAGTTTCCTTTGGAATAAATATTTTTTTTTACTTTTAATTAAATACTAATTATTAATTGAAATTAAGTAAGTCAATTTTAATTAGTTACGTAAAAATAATTTAGTCACTTAAATATAAATTTTGATTGATTAATTAATTAATTAATTTAATGAAATTTTCATTTAAGTTTAGGTTGTTACCTTTTTCAGTACACCTTTTTTGTAGGCCTTACATAATTATGTATAGAACCATTTATGAATAAGAGCAATTTTTAATATGGTTTCCGATTTTTCCTAATTATTAGTTTGAAATTTTTGGAATGCTCGAACAGATTAGCTTGGAACTGTCACAGATATAGCTCGGTAATTAACTTCCAATAGTAATTTATTTGAGTACAATAATTAGCAATTTATAAATAAAAACAATCATAATCTACTTAGTACACATTATTTAGCAATTTTACTTACAAATAAATCACATTTCAAATCACTAATATACATAGTTTTATCCATTTTAATTCTATATGCTGAAAAACCAAATTCAGCTACTTTCCATTTTATCACACTCGATGCGGCAATTTGCTACGCGGGCGATGAATTATACATACTGTATATGTACATCAGCTGAAAATTTTGAAGCGGCAAAACAATTTGACATAACATGACGTGACTCTGCGTAAAATTTTGCGTTGATTAATATATGTCCGTCCGTCCGTCGGTCCGATCACACATTAACTCAAAAACCAATAAACTGAATGCCACCAAACCTTCACGAGTAGTTTCTTTTGCATACAACTCAAAGAAATTATTTCAAATATGTATTTCAAAAACTAATAGACGTATCATTATGAAATATTGTACACGTGTGTCCAATTGCATTTTACATATTATGTTCTATTAATTCTAATGGCATGCCGCCACGTGACATGACGTTTCGTAACGTGATATGACCTAACGCGGCGTGTAAAAATTTGTACCTGACTGGTACTACCTGCTCCGGAACTGCAGTTGCAAATTTTCGGATGGGATTTCCTGAGTGTAGGAGGATTGTTGTTCAATTCGCTTAATGATTACTAGTTTTTTAGAACTGGGTAGCAACCGAAACTGGTAAACCGAGATTGCAAATAGTTGTGATTGTGCCGGAGGGTAATAACATAAAACAATTATTTCTCTTACGACCATCTATTCTTGCCTACTTTCAGATGCAAATGAAGCACATAGAAATATTTTTTAATTTGAAATTTTTAGATTACAACAAAATTAATAAAGAGAACAATCGTGTTTCATTATCAAAAAACAAATTTTTTGTGTTTATACTAGGAAATTAATAGTGAAAAATAACAAAAATCTCTTAATTTTTTTTTCTAATTTGTGGTAATAAAGAATATTTAATTAAAAAATAATTAATAATAATTTGATTGCAAATACGAGTACATACATACATAATATAAAAACTAAAAATAAAAAACATTTGCTTTAAATTCGCAGTTTTTCCTTCTTTTAATAAAAAATTTGTGTTTCCAGTCATTTGAATTTAATAATTTCGTATAATTGAAAAAACGCAGGAACACTTAATTATTAGAAATTTGAATTGTTATTTTGAAAGGTTATGGGAAATATAAATAATATAGGATTTTAATATTTTATTGGTTTTTAAAAGTAAACAAAATATTAAAGAAAAAAATTAGCGTACTTCCTACTGATTAATAAAATATTAATAGAAATATTGAATTTTTATTATTCACACTCAAATATGATGTCGTGAATATAAACTCGTGTAACAGTGAAATCTAAATTAATCTAAACACTTAATTAAATGACAAAAACTTTTTTGAATTTTGAATAATTTTAGAGTGTATTTGATCCGATTATTTTTTACAATTTTTCTTTTTAGAAAATGATCATCAATGTGAAGCTGGCTTTGCTTAATTGTTGTGCTAATAGCTAAAGGTAAATATTTGAATATTATGCATAATTATATACGCATAGCTATAAAAATATTCCAAAACAAAATATTCTTGGACAAATAAACAAAAAATAGGCAACTTTTTAATGAATTCCATAATTTGATCACCGAAAACAATCTCCTAAGAAGAATTTTACACGTTTGTATAAGAGTTATCCCTCAAAAACGCCGATCTTACTAATCGACAATTAACATTTGGTTGTTTTTTCAAACAAAATTGAAATATCGAGATCAGTCCACTTCCAAACAAGCGTTTTCACCAAACAGATATGAATAAACAAACAAAAATAGAATTTGGCTTTCTAACAAACATGCTTATCTAAAATAAAACAGGCAAAGTGTCTAAAATATCGTAAAGGAATCCGGATAAGCATCACATGTCGCGTTTTCTATAAAAATTTTACATTAACAATTTTCGTACTTAAAATTCTTATTCTGACTGATTTTCGACAATTTCATGACATAAATTTAATTTTATTGCATGGAAAAAAAAACAAATAAAATATTGTTAATTTCATTACTCTTGTCCAAATTAAAAAGCACAAATGCTTATCATATGCGCTGTCACGTTTCTTCACATGACAAATATTTTAGCTTAACCTTTATAATATGTTCTTCATCAATTTGTTGAGTCTTCTTCACCATGCATTTCCAATTATACTCACTCTTTTTTCTCCAATTATGCTCTTTCTTTATGAAATTGTTCTACAGAGAAGAATCGTCATAAAATCCAATTTACCTACAGCAGTAAAATAAAACCAAAAATTAATTTATCAAATTATGCTTTACTTTAAAAAAAAATGTAATGGTTAAAAAGAGTGACAATTTAACAAAAAAGACACTCATAAATTTTTCATATCATGTTTTACAAATAAACAGCACCCATGCGGAATAGAATATTTTAGTCAATGTAATTTATAAAAATGGTTTTACATGTAAAATTACACAGAACGTGGTCAAATTTCTATTTCTTGTTTTTTTTTTGCTCCTGCATGTAAGGTATAAAAAATAAGACAAACAACAAATTTTTAACGCTTCCCATTAATTATTCATTTTCCTAATTAGAAGTTTATGTTTTTTCTTGTTGTATAGCTTTCCTTTTTCATTAAAATAATTATAAACCAATTAATTTTTTTATTTTTTTTTGAAAATCTATTTTCGTGTTTTATTTCAAATGGTTTAAAGCACATTATAGAGATTTCTAAATGAAATGCTTATGAGAGCTATATTATTATGAACAGACCACAAAGGCATTTTAAATTTTGAGAGAACGAAACACTATATCATAATAATCAAATTGTTTCATTAATGTCAGGATTCATTAAAATTTTTTATCAGATAGAAGTGATGATATAGTATATGTTTTCTTGAATTGTATCCTAGCTACTGAAAGAACTCGGAAATGCAAGCCACCTTACAGTATCCTACTTGAAAATTTAAATTTTCTTATAAACATAATTAGCTTAATTTTTGGGAAATTAAATTTTGCTGTTATACTTTACTTACTAAATACATATATCTTCAATAAAACTCATTTATGTTCAAATTTAGTCCTAAAACCCTAACAGCTTCCAAAGTGTGATAGTATGATTAAACGCTCAAACTACTGTTAATATCGAATCCAAATCAAATTCAATAAAATGATAACTATACAAGCTTTAAATAATACGTATAGAGATTTAGTTAATTTAGCTAGACTCAGTTTTGAATTATGACTCTATGAATAGGTGCATAAAACAATAAGACAACAGATTAATTTTAATTCTAGATTAACGGCTAAGTCAAAGTGCTAATATACATTTTAATATTATTTAAAGCACTTGCATTGTCTGTGTTCACTTTCATTGCTTTTCTGTGTTTTAATACGTTACAAATGAATTTATAAAACTATAACACTGACTTCACAAAAATTCATATTATTGCGGAATTCACGAACAAACGTGATAAACAACCACTTTAACGCCCTCGTTTTTTTTTTTTTTACAAATATGCCGATACGTGCACTCAGTGCGATTTCAAAGTTAAATATTACTAGATTATACTTGTATATTGAAATAATTGCAAATGTGAATTTTTTATGCGTGGGTATGTCAATGTAATAATGAATGCATATATGCACATATAAAAAAAAAAAACTTTTGAACGTGAGTACACAAACTTATTTAATGTACAATTGTTTTTTAATCAATTTTCAATAAAAATATAATTAAAAAACAATAAAACATGTACAAATAACATCAGAAATGTTAAGAATTTTAAAAATAATATTAAATATAGTAAGGATATTAATGTTATGTAACCATTTTAATGAATTTTTCCCGTCTGTATATGCAATATTTAATGGTAATTTTAATAATTAACTGCATATCAGTAAAGAAGGGCACTGCTACAAATTTTAAAATTTTGATTTATAAGCATTATTACAGTGGCAATACGAAAAATATATTTGGTTTTTTTGTTACCGGAACTCCAAGTCTGGCGCTTAAGAAATTTCTTTTTATTGTAAATATTGTATACGTAAACAACTCGTAATAGAGCCAATTAGGTACTGTAAATCGATTATAAACTTTTTAATTTTCTTTTCAATTCAAATATAATTATATTATAGCAGTATACCTAATAAATTGACTACATATACAAGCTTTTGAAAAATAAATAAATAATTTTTTTTTATAAAAAAAAAAAGACGTAAATAAAATATCATTGAAAGCAAACAGTTGGATCCTGTTCATGTTTTTTTAATGTGCTACGGGAAAAAGTAAATGTAGCTGTGTATGTATATTGGTCCATTTAGTAAAATACAAAATATTTTGATATTTGTAGCTATTATTATTGAAGCGAGAAAAAAGCGAAAAGTTTTTCTATATACAAAAAACGCCACTACACTCCTCCTCCTTCTTACAATTCAATTAAAATAAAAACTTTTACATAAAAAACCCCAAAAAAACAACATGAATAAATAATTATTAGAAATTATTTTATATTATTAAACATGTTTTATATCAAAAATTTTGAGTTTGTTTATAAAGCAAATTGTGAAGAGGAAAATTTAAATAGAAACTAATATGAAGATAATGGAAAATTAAATAGAAAAATTTAATTATCATTTTCCGATTCCTAACGTAGTGTTTACACTTTGATTCTGTGGCATTTGAATAAAATTTATTAAAAATTTTTTTCTCATTATTTTTTCTTAGATTTTTTAAATAAAATATTAATTCAAGTTTTACTATTAATATAGTGTAAAGAGAACGTTACTTTATTATTATGAGAGACACACCGCACGCACAGTGCTGAAACATATTGTGCTCACATTATTCGATTTGAAAGTTGAAATAACTCTTAATTTGTGGCCTTTCTAAATATGACAAGCAAAGAATGCTATTAAAGGTATTAAATGGTAACATCTTCAGCTTTGCCAGCCTTGCCAGTTTTTTCAGCTTTTTAAAATATGAAAAATGAATTGAAGTAGTGGAGTAGATAAGAAAAAATTAAAATCTTCCAATACTAGTAAATTAGAGTAGTATACTCAATGCTTACGTAAGAAGACAATAATTATTACAAGCGGTGTTCCGGTTCTAGTGTAAGTGCGCTCAGTCTATGATTTCTTGGAAAGTTATGTAGGCCTAAGTTATAGAGGATGATGTAGCACATTCCAAAAAAAGTTCAAGAAAATAGCGGAAATTTTCGAGATTATTAATGTTTTTTGAAAAATTTTTAAATCGAAATTTTAATTTTGAATGACTATAACTCGAAAACAGTAAGCCAGACGTGAACCATTAGCAAACCGTTTTGTGGTTCTATCAATTGAAAAAAAAGTTTTAGAACAACTCATTGTTATTCGTGCGAGACAGAATATTTTCAATTCACCAGACGTCTGAGTTTTTTCGCATTCTCTAACCACCTATAGTTCCCGGATTTTTATGACGTTACCATGATCCATGAGTTTATTTCAGTTTCGAAGGTCAAAAAAAATTTTTAACTCTTGTAAACAAGTTACACTTTACACTATAACAAGTACAAAAACAACATCAAGTAGCTTTAACCCAACAACCAGTCAACAGTATATTAAAAACTCAAAATTCGAGTAATGAATAGATAGTTTTGCATGTAGTTAAGACAAGAACAATTAAAAAGAATATTTTCGGAAGAAGGATTACTTGCAATTTAAATATCCTTTAAACTCAATTAATATTTAAAAATCGGCAGTTCTTCATTTCAGAATTTATCTTCCTCTTTATTTTTAACCAAAGTCATCACAGCTATTTTCTGTGAGAAATTATTGTTCTACAAAAAAAATTATCATAATTCCAACTTTTTTTTTATATTCAATGAGATTACTTTTACAATTCGATTAAATAGAATTCATACTGTCTTTTGCAATCATAGAATTAAAAATCTTATTAAAATCATTAAAGGCAAACTTAAAGTATGTGCCATTCGCCTTTAATTTTTTTATTAAAAATTCATTGCTTTTCTCTCTTTTTATTTCTTATTTGTTTTATTTGTCTTATATTTTTAATCTCCTACACTAAAATATTTCACAACCTACAATTTTAATAATTTCCTTTGCTTCAAAAGAAAAAGGAAATTCTTCTCACATATTTTTGTTTTTTACTTTTTCAACAGGAGTGTGCAATAACTGACATCCTTTTTATATAAAAATTTTTTTATTCCTTTCTCTTTTCTTTGCACATTTGATTTTTATTATATCTATATAATTTTAATGTCGAATGAATGATAGTCAAATATAAAAAACACTCATATGTAGGGTACCTGCACTGTCTTATGTGTCGTAAAAATGATGAATGTTAGTAGAAATGATAATATAAAGTCGAGAAACTTTGATATTTTACAGCTTTGAAAATCTATATGGTATACGTATTTTATATTATAAAATACTATAATGCGATATTGAAGAGTTAAAGAGGAAAATAGAAGAAACGAATATAAAATTTAAATATTTAAAATGCATATAGGGTGA